TATCTATCTATCTCCTATTAGTTCTGTCCCTCCAAAAGAACCCTGAGAACCTAACACAGAGCATGTCCCTCATGAATAAATGGGGAACACTGTAAATAAAAAACAGCTAAAATGCAATTACAGTAAATGTTATTTCTGGCAATGTTAAGACAATTGTTTTAAGATTAAAAACTCAATTCTGGGATAGAGCATGAAAAGATTTGAATAGATAGTCCACCTGATAGAAAGTACATACAGTGAAGCAACTTTTAAAAAGACACAGGTCTTGGGAAAATCAAATGACAAATTTTAGAAATTGAGAATTCTATGAATGCCTTTCATGTTACAAGTCACTATAGTGTCAAATCGGAGCCTAGTTGATAGATCAGGGAGTTAAGACTTTGAATTAAAATTACATGAAATTAAATGTGATGAGATTGGCCTGTCTGGATGTGCTCCATTCTCTGAGGTGTAGTGCCTCAGGATGCAAAGCTAGAGATGATTTTCAGGCTCAGAGGCAGTAGATTAGCAGCTCATGCAGCTCTACAATCAATGTCCATCTTCCCTCTTCGTCCTTTGTCCTCTGCTTTTCAACCTCTTTACTGAACTCTAATCTTGAGAACATGGAGTTAAACTCATTGGGCTCTGTTGACCAATAGCTGATACATTGATTAGATGGATGGAACTGATAGAAGCCAAGCTATTGTTGTGAGTGGAATGAAAAGTATAGATCAGTACAGGGAGGGAGGGAACTAGGACAAAAGACACAAAACCAATCTTGCAGAATAGGAGAGCTCATTCTGTATCCACAGGGACCATGTTTCAGGAAAATGTATTTAGATGTGTTTGCAAACCAAGAAGAAATAACCATCTGAGGTGAAAGATAGAAGTGAGATGCACAAAATATGAAGAGTCACATTAATCTCTTTTTGAAAGTTTCAGAAAGAAATACATATTTAATGTCTTTATCTCCTCACCAATGTTACAAGATTTTAGAGTGAAGCATTGATGCTTCCTTTGAAAAACTAAAATAATAATGATACCTTGGGTTGGGTGTGGCGGTTCACACCTGTAATCCCAGCACTTCTGCAGGCCGAGACGGGCAGATCACTTGAGGTCAGGAGTTCGATACCAGCCTGGCTAATTTGGTCAAACCCCATCTCTACTAAAAATAAAAAATTAGCTGGATATGCTGGCATGCGCCTGTAGTCCCAGCTACTCGAGAGGCTGAGGCAGAAAATCACTTGAACCCAGGAAGCGGAGGTTGCAGTGAGCTGAGATTGCACCATTGCATTCCAGTCTGGGCATTGCAGAGAGACTCCATCTCAAAAAAACATAAAAAGTTACCTTACAGTAGAGGTAATAGACTCACATGCCCGGAGATTCTGGGTAGATAATGATAATAGGTGGAGCTAAGCAGGGATACATTGGGGAGGGAGAGGACAGTGATGAGTGGATCAGAAGGCATGTGCCACATTGACAGCATTGAAAGCTGGGAGCAAGTTCTCATCTTCAGGCAACTTTGTCCCTGCTGGAATGGGGACTTAGGGTTGCCAGATGTTCTGATTTTTAAGAAAGCCTAAAACTACATATTTTACATGTAGATTATACCCTTTGGGCCAAAGCTATGTGAGTATAATCTACATAGCACTGAGGAGTCTGTGAATTCTGTTCCACAAGACTACAATGAGGCAGGATTGGGAATGCTGGAGTCAGCACTGGAGTGGACATGTGGACGTGTGTGACCTGGAGATTACTTAAAAACTGACTTACAACTTCCTTATCAATAAGATGGGGTTTTATAATACCTATGTCATAGATTTAAATGGCATAATATGGTTGAAGCCACTACAGCAGGGACAGTTAGCTGCCTACCAACATTTTGTCCTTTCTTGATATACAGTCATTTTTGAGAAAGGACTGTTCAGCTTTAACTGAATTTCCTAGCTCTCCCTTATAATAAGCTATGGCCATATGAGTGAGTAGTTCTCAATATTGGGCTGAGAACAAAGTGATTTATACATCACTTTTAGACCAATGTTTCCAGAAGTGCCTTCTTCATCCTTTGTCAGTGGAATATATGTGATGATGAGGGTGTCCAAATCACAAGATGGAAGGATCCTGAGTCTCAGAATCCCCACATGTATGGAAGCTATCTGCTAACCAGGAATATCCACCTGCATTGTTAGATAAGTGATAAATTAACGTCTGTTTTGTTTGAGACATTATACACTTTGAGATCAATTTGATGCTCTCTTGTTCCAACCTAGTAACAGAACTCTTGACACATGGAAGGTGCTACGTCAGTCTGAGTTCTCTTCTCTGGAATTACGTTCATAATTATGCACTGTTATCTTTTCTGCTGTATCTATTATGTGTGCAGCACTCTCAGATACTTATTATGTGTGTATCTATTATGTGTGCAGAACTGTGGTGAGGAATACTTTGCTTGCAGTGTGTCATTTATCACCACAGTTCTGCAAGTAAATATTATCACTTTCATTTTATAAATGCACAATTAGCAACTCTGAGAAGTGAAATTAGCAACTCTGAGAGAGAAGGGGAAGAAATAGGGAGAAATAGAGGGAGATGCACCATGTTACCAACCTGTAGTCTGAATTCTCTTTTGGATTGAAGTCCCAATGCTTGCACTACCTGGCACTATAAACTCTTAATGTAAATTTAGAATCTTGTCTGAGCCCTCTCTTTGAAGATGAGGAATCTGAGATTTAAAGCTTAGACGTATTTTGTTAAAGCTTAGAAGTCTTTCAGCTAGTTAATTGTAGAACCAAGATTAGAACCTAGTTCTTTTGAATCCTAATTATATTATTACCTTTATACAATTTTCACCATACAATTAATAATAAATGTAGTTGAGATGAAAGCACAGAGGCTCTTGGGCAGAAAAGTCAGCATAAATAAGTATATGTATATATATATGTCATTTCAAAACAACCAACCTGGCTAAATTTCACAGATAAGTTCAGTCAGGTCCCAATATACGTTTATTTTTGGCAAACTTTAGGAGCTCAGCAGAGTTCGGGAGAAGGAAAGAGAATGCGAAGAGTTTAAATAATGCAGGCAATCTCACCAGTCCCTTAACTCAAACATATGGCCTGAGGCAGCCCAACATGGAAGCCTCTATCTGCCGTTCCTCCGTTGGTAGTAAGTTCTCTTGTGTTTCCCATGGAGTGAGCATCTCACTGTGCTGAGTGTTTAGTGTTTAAAGATACATATTTTTCATACAACATTGCCCCTGAATGCAAGCCAACTCACCACTTCATCTGGTGCTCAACTGAAGAGAGAGCAATCTGTTCCAAAACTGGAGCAAATGTAGTCTGTGTTGGATTCTGAGAGTTAGTATTATGATATCCAATGTAGTCCCTTCTGAGGGGAGTTCAGAGGTGATTTTCATCTATGTGTTGTGTTTGCTTTAGAAGCTGACTTGAGAACCCAGTCCCCTGTTGAGGTATGACATCCCTGATTGACTTCAGCTGTGTAAATTCAATGTACTGTTTGCTTGCTTCTCTGACATTAGCACGGCCAAATACCACATACTTTAATTGCAATTAGTGACTCTGTAACCTTGACTCAAAGTGTGTTATTAGAATACATGCTGGGTGATGAACAATATTTAAAATACCTGTCATACTGAGGAACCAATAATACCAAAGTGGCAGTTTTTTTAAAAAATGAAAATAGTTAAGATTCCTCTAATAATGATGACCAAGGATGAATATTCCTTCAAAGAATGAAGTGTTTAGACTTCAAAGACTGGCCGGGCGTGGTGGCCCACACCTGTAAATCTCAGCACTTTGGGAGGCCAGGGCTAGCGGATCCCCTGAAGTCAGGAGTTCAAGACCAGCTTGGCCAACATAGAGAAACCCTGTCACTACTAAAAGTACAAAATAATCAGCCGGGCATGGTGGTGGGCACCTGTAATCCCAACTAATTGGGAGGCTGACTCAGAAGAATTGCTTGAACCCGGGAGGCAGAGATCATAGTGAGCTGAGATCATGCCACTGCACTCCAGCCTGGGCAACAGAGTTAGACTCTGTCTCAAATACAAACATATATATATATATATATATATATGCACACACATGTATTTGATGTATATATTAAATATCCAAATATATATATATATTTGAATTTTCAAATATTCAAAATTTAACCAGGTTGGTTGTTATAAGTCACTGACTCGGGATAATGAAACAACATATATATGCATACATACTTATTTATGCTGAGTTCTCTGCCCAAGAGCCTGTGTGTTTTCATCTCAATTGCATTTATTATTAATTGTATGGTGAAATTTGTTTAAAGGTAATGTAATTAGGATTCAAGAGAACTAGCTTCTAATCTTGGTTCTACAGTTAACTAGCTGAAATATATGTATGTGTATATATATGGGTATATACATATATGTACATTTACATGTATATATATTTTAAGGACTGGTGAACAAAACGTTAAAGGTCCTGAGTTCAAATGTTAGCTCCACCACTGAGAGCTGGGTCACACTTGGCATATCAATTACACTATCTGGGCTCTGATTTCATTACTAAAAATATGTGTAGGCAGTAACAGTGATCTCAAAAGTTGCTTCCAGATTTTGTATTATTTTCTATTAAATATGTTTCCCTTCCTTGTGTGCACAAGGGCAAAAGAAAATAGCTCTCTAGAATCTGTTTGCACACCTGCCACTTAGTAGATCAGAAGGCAAGAACAAAATTGGAACTATAATTTGGCTCAATCCCAAATTAGAAGTTTGATGCTGTCTTAACATTCTCCTACAGGATTTTTGTTTCTGATTGCAGGTGCAGTTACCCATTAGATTCAGCTTCATTTTCTATACCCAGCATTCAAAGTGTAAGAAACCCCAGTGCGTGTTTCACTTTCCTCCCACTGCTGCGTTGATTCAGTGATTTTGTGATTTGCTGATGGGTCATGGTCCTTCTGGATTTGGGATATCAGGCCAATAATGTTGTAATATTTGGATGCCATCAAAATTCTGTTACCTGGGAAATCCTATCCACTTCTGTCTGGTTCTTCTAAGAATCTGTGACCAAGAAGAGTTGGTATATCTTCAAAGACTGAGAATAAAAACAAAACAAAAGATCTTAAGCTTGCCTTTTCTTCTCAGCAACCAGGAGTATCGATGAAAAAATTCTGTTCCAGTCAAACCACAGAGCCCATAACACCCTATCGGCTTTTGAATTAAGTAATAAAAGCATCAGCAAGGAAAATACTACACTAAGAAGACTTACTCAAATACCAGTGAATGGGAAAGAAAAAACAAAACCAAACATCAATAGTTGAAAGTATTGCAAAGGAGTACAGAACTTCCAGTTAAAGAAATGTACTGGCCTGGTGCAGTGGCTCACGCCTGTAATCCTAGCACTTTGGAAGGCCGAGGTGGGTGGATTGCCTGAACTCAGTAGTTTGAGACCAGCCTGGGGAACATGGTGAAACCCTGTCTGTACTAAAATACAAAAAATTAGCCAGGTGTGGCAGCATGCACCTTTAGTCCCAGCTACTTGGAAGGCTGGGGAAGAGCAGGGCAAGGCCCCCTTCCTCAACTTTTGAGAAGTCCTCCAAAGAGATGAGTGATCACTAACTGAAAGAGATGGATGCTTGTGAAGGAAAAAAGACAGAAAATATAGCTCATTCTAATAAAAGGATAAATTCACAGGTTTCTGAACCTTGTCTGAGCCATTAATAGAGTGGCTTCTTCCTCTCAGGGCCAAACACAGGTGTGACTTCTCATGTCAGAGGGGTGTGTTCTGCATATGTCTTCCTTGCCAGCTTGTGAGCCCTTCACTTGTGAGCGCTCAAAGCAGGCACTTAATGTATGTTTTATTTAACATGCTTTTAGAATGCTTTCAGTATTCTTATCTTGGAGAAGTCCTGCTTAGTTTTCTGTACCATGCAGGCACAGAAGTGGGAAGAAAGAGAAGTGACGTTTGAGATCCACTTTCAGGAGTATATTTATGTATGTAAGAGTGATTTGTAAATGGAAAATCCTACATAGACAAGAAGAGTGATTACCAGAGAGGCTGAGCAAATGTAACAGAATGATACACAGCTAGAATATAAACAAAATATAAGCAATTCCAAGTTAGACAAGAAGCATAATGAAAGTTCTGAAAGGCCCGGTGCAGTTGTTCACGTCTGTAATCCCAGCACTTTGGGAGGCCGAGGCAGGGGATCACCTGAGGTTGGGAGTTTGAGACCAGCCTGACCAACATGGAGAAACCCTGTCTCTATTAAAAAGTACAAAATTAGCTGGACATGTTGGCGGCACATGCCTGTAATCCCAGCTACTCCAGAGGCTGAGGCAGGAAAATTGCTTGAACCCAGGAGGTGGAGCTTGTGGTGAGCTGAGATTGTACCATTGCACTCCAGCCTGGGTGACAAGAGTGAAACTCCATCTCAAAAACCACCACCAACAACAAAGAGTTCTGAGAAAGGGAAGGTGACTGTTGGCTGGAGCCTCTTGTGGCTTTCAGCTGCCAGAGTGATGTTTAGAAAAGGACACCCTACAGAACACTCCAGCTGTGTAGTGTGGGAAGTTAAAGATTGCTCCTACATTTGTATTGTTCTTTTCCTTATATTTTAACAGAGCCACGAGCCATGTAGCCTGAACAGACCGTCCCTGCTCTTTGGCCACTGGCATCTGTTGGCGAAAAGGCAGGATCTGTGGTAAAGTCTGTACTCATTCACTGTATTTAAAAGCCCTGATGCTGCATAACTAATTTATCAGAAGGTACCCTCGCTGTTCATTTTGTAACAGTATCAAACACGAGGTGCAAGTGATAATCTAGGGATGAAGGACGGATATGGTGATAAAAGAATAGTAGGTCATAAAGAAATAGTTTAGTTGATTGAATTAGAAAGAAAGCCAAAGAATGCTTCTGAAATACTGAGAGGATTCAGATGGCATGTTTTCTTTCAGCTGGTCTGCATTTAGCCTCTGAAGAGAAGGAGGCAGTGGGAGATTCTGCTGAAGTTTACTCTGGGACAGGCATTTTGGCTAAGTCCTTTTCATGTCTTGTCCCATTCAACTCTCATAGCAATGCTATATATTTTGGAAGATTATTGGATTTGACTTTGAAGATGTGAAAATTACTCACAATGTAGTTACATAAATCTGCCAATATGCGTTGGAAACCACACAAAAACCTGGAAGGTTTGAGTTTAGGGCCTACATTTTCAGGCACTGTTCATGGTGATAGCTATCTCTTATTATGCCAGTTATTCTGGATGCTTTAAAACTAACATCTCTCCCCAAAAACTAAAACTAAGGGAAGTTGCCTAATACCACATAGCTATTAAGTAGTTGAGAAATAAAAAAACTACTTCAAAGCCACATTTTTTTTTAATCTAGGAAATGAGGGAATAAATGAGGAACAAAAAACAAATCTTAGACTCTTCTTCTACAGCCTTAGAGTCTTGAAGGATACAAAGAACAAGAGACAGAAATAGCAAAAGTGAAATTAAAATCCTGGCTCAAGTTACAAGATTTCACAATTGACTGCTCTGGGCCAGGAGGAATAAGAGATAGTGACAAGGCTGGCTGGCCTCAAAGCTCTTAGAGGAATGGGGTTAGTTCTCAAATTTGCAGAAAGACTTGTCAGTTTCTCCTTTTAATCATCTTCCCATCTATCTGTTTCCCCTCCCTGGATCTTGAAATAAACCTCTTGTCTATTTTCAGCTGAATGGTGCCATGGAGACAGGCCTGGTGTCCAGGAAGTAGAGATTCAAGCAATCTGTCCTGGAGTGCCTCATGACTCCTGTTCCAGGGTCAGGGGCAGAGCCTAGTGTGTGTGTGTTTGTGTGTGGTAGGAGGTGGCTGTGCTGCTCTGCGGGCTGCAATGGAAGGTCTCAGAGAGGTGTATTCGAAACTGGAAATGAAGGTTACCAATTATTAACATTTCACCTTGGAAAGCTGTGGCAACAAACATTTGCAGAGAAATAAATTCAGTGCAGTTGTGTATAGAAAGTGGGCCAAGGAGATGCTCATAGGAAAGAAGGAAGAAGCATTTCTATTATATACTTTCACATATTTTTGAGTTTCACAGAGAAATGTTAATAGCTGCTTTGCATGGAGCGTATGCTATGTACCGGATGCTATGCATTCCTGATCTCTATTTACAGAGATTCCTTTCTAACAGGGGGTCAAAATGAAGGGTTGAAAGAGTTTAAAGTAAAATCACACACCTTTGAGTCCAGTTTGGATCCAAAGCCTGTGCTTTTTAATACTCCACTGTTCTGCAAGTGCTCAGAATCTATACTATATATAAGGTACAATTTCAGACCTTTCTCTAGTATCTAGGAGCAGGTGTGTGTTGTGGGTTCTATATTTGTGTGTGGAAAACTAGTAACAAGAGGCGGTTGCTATGTACGTTGAGACTGGATGTCCCGGCAAGCACAGTGATGGAGGTGTTTGCATCTTCTGAGGCAGCTTCCATAAAATTTCTATTCCCTACTTCCATCATTTTTGATCTGAGCAGTAGATGACATCTTCCATAGAGTTTTTACAGAATAGCCAATGGCATGGCTGGACGTGTCTCCTAAATGTACTTGTTTCTGGCTAAATGGCAGCCCCATATGTTTCCCAGAAATTATGTATGCTTATCATAAATCATTTTCTGTTTGAACAAGCCTGAGTAGATTCTGTGGGCTGTAAAACTCCCTATAATTTATATTTCTACATTTGACAAACAGGGAAACTGAGGCTCAGGGATGATGTAACTTGCCTACACATTCCTTCCTTCTACCATACTCTTTTTGCATAAGTAGCCAGATTTTCTTGTAAAGGTCTTCTATGGGTGGGGTTTACCTTTAATAAATGTGAGCTTAGCCTGTTTACATGGCTTTTACCCTCAGCGATGATTACATGGCATTATTTCAGGTAACATATGGAATTCTTTTCTTTTGACCTAGCTTTAAAAGAGCAAGATTTCCTAAAAATACCCTTTATAAGAGGCAATCTATGGTGCAGTCAAATGAAGGCCATGTGGATATGTGTTGTTTTTACCTACTGGAAAGCCCTTCTCCCATTTCTGGTAAGCATCTCCTGTTTTTCCTTGAGGGAACATTTATTCTGCACACAATGTGATTCTGATGGGGCTGAATCATAAAGCCCCCTGACAGGGGTCAGGACTGAGAGTGGCCAATCAGGGTGCTACCACAGTCCAGGAAAGAGCACATGTGAGGTCAACTAGAGACTATTTTGGATGTTTGGTTTGACTTTTGAGAGTGGGAGAGCTGCATTATACCCTCTACTGAAGCATAAAAGCTTGAAATGTCAAGAGGCCATCTTGCCACCAAATGGAACAAACTTTCCTAAGAATACAATTTTAAAAGAATGAAAGAGTTGATAACTGAGCGATAGGAGAACCAGAAGAAGAAAAACAGCTGGAGAAGGAGAGCTAGAGAGGTGGGCAGAGAGAGAGTGATAGACAGAAAAAGGCAGAAAAGAGACAAAAGAAAGACAGAAACACCAGCAGAGAAAGAGGAGAAACCCTAGGCACATATGCATACAGATTACACAGAAATAGACACATAGAAATACAGGGGCACAACACTCACTGACACATAAACACACACACACACACACATACACACACACACACACACACACGGAGACTCCACTGAGTCAGAGGGACTGACTCAATGACACCGTCTCTTAATGGTATCATTGGAATTCCTAGAATCATTTAAGCTTAAAACTGTATCTGTTCATTGGATTTCCTGGCTCTAAGAGCCAACAAACTTCTCTTTTCCTTAAGCCCATTTTGGTTGGAGTCATGAAGTGTACAGACTATGTAGTCAGGAATCCGGTGTTCCTGACTCCAGTTTGGTCACCCAACCAACAGTGTGACCTCAATTTATCTCAGATTTCTTAGTTTTCTCACCTTTAAAAAGGGAGCAATGACATCTGCTTTACCTGCCTCCAATGTTGTGAGAGTTGATGTGATACGACTAGAAAAAGATTTTGAAAGTAAAAAACAAAAAAGCTACACAGATATATGAATATAATCATTAATCATCCATCCTGAAAAATTGCCATGGTAGGAATTTGGTGGTG